CATGGCAATAAAATCTAAAGAGTTATATGAAGAAAAGTAGCTATTAATAGTAAAATTCAAAGGAGGAGCTTTAGCTGAACATGAGTTATATTTCAGGATGCACTGACTGGTTTGGAGAATTTAAACAATACACATGTATTTAATGAGTAGAATATTTTTATATGTAACCTGTAATTTTTTTTTTTTTTTTTTTTTTGAGTCTAAAGGACTTAAATATTGACTGAATGCTAGCAAAATGGAAGTTGAAATTTTTTGGTTATATTTTTGGAGGCTTACTAAATGTTTCTTGCTTAACTAGAAGTCCTGAGAAAAATATGTTTTATAAGTACTCCATAGATAAAATTATTTAAGTGCATTTGAGTGTTGAACAACTATGTTTGAGGGGACAGAAGGTGTGCTTCTAAAGGATTTTTTCCAAACACACATACTTAAAATAATACTTAGGCATAAATGTCAAGTAATCATAAAAATACATTGCCACTTACCACTGTACACCATCACTGACATAGACACCAGCAGAATTACAATCATTTTTTGTTTAATGCAGAGACAAGAAAGTCACACAGCAGACTGATGTACCTGGTGAGTTAAGTAAAATATTAGGCAGAACGTTATCTCTTGAACCTGGGAGTGGGAAGACATCAATTTAGAAAATCATTATTTTGTAGCCTGGCCATGTTTCTGCTTGATGTAATTCAGTTTTTACCCTTATCATACTAAAGGCACATATTACAGCAATGATGAGCCCTATGCATCCTTCAGATGTTACCAATGTCCTCTATAAACCTGACTAACAATATTTATTTTGGCATTACTTCAGGTGACTCAACAGGCTCTGCCAAAGTGCCAGTGGCAGGGAAAGCCCATTTAGCAATAAAATGGTGTACCCGAGTTTTCTTTTGTTTTGCAAACAGTTTTCACATCTTACTTGATCTAAGAGGATGTTTAAACAATTCTTCACATTATCTTTAAATGCAAATATTGTGAAACACTGTGTAAATGAAGAGGTATTCTGGGATTACTATTGAACCCACTTAATCTGCAATCCATTATATTAATTTGTTTCACATCACAAAACCCTCTCACACTTTGTAGTCAAACATTTACTCTGATCCGTGTTGAGAATGATCTAATGTATCATATATTTTTCTAATGAGAAACACTGTGTTGTTTGGAGATCTTCAAGTTCTGGGTGTGTTTGCCCTTACAGAAATGTGCATAAAGAATTCTTCTGAAGCTAAAAGCCTTTCACTAATATTCATTGAATGGCAGATCATAGATTGGTTTTGGACTACAGTCACAGTTTACCCTAAATTTAGAATGATTTCTAAGTCAGGCATGGAGTTTTTGCAGTCAGATAAACAAACATTTATCTATATCTGTTTTCAAATATGTATCTACTGCTGATTATCTGCTCCCTAAGGTCAAATACTATATTCATTTCCATTTTAAAATCATGTAATATTTCATCAGGAAATGAGGTTATAAATCTAACAGCTCTAAATATTTATAGTCTGCTATCCCAAATCTCTTACCTACACTTCAGTCTACAACTCCACAGTCCCAAATATCTTACTCTACATTGTTTTCTTCCTGATTCCTGTATTATAGAGTACATCTAGAAAGGCTTACCTTGAGGGATATTATCTGAAAGCAGTTGGATGAAGGATAAATGGATTTCAACAAAGTCAGTACTAAGTTATTTATACCCACTTGGAGATATACCTCACCCATGTGATCACTTCCTTTATCAAACCCACTTCAACATTTATTAATTAATTCTTCCATGACATTCCTTAGAGTCATTATGTCCACGGTGTATCTTAGTAATGTAGCTCCAGCCATGTAAAGTATCTATACTGAGGAGTCTGTTCTGCAGGTGCATTCACCGTATAGTCACATTCCCTAATACTCGTGGCTGTAATCAAGTAACAATCATCTCATTGTTATTAATCACTCACAAAATCTCTGGAGCATGTGAATATGCTTTAATGGCTTAGCAAGAGGTAGTGTTCAGTGATGAAAGATGAGTGAAAATTTAGACAGCTTTAAACACTGGCATTCCTCAGGGTTGAGAAGTCTGCTTTTGTCTATTCCACGGTGGCTCTGATCCAAAGCTGAGTGAAACCCAGGAGAAGGTTGAGTCAATGAGCTTTGGGAAGGCTTCTCCGCATCGGGAAAGGTGTGCTTTCTGCCACAGTCGGACACAGCTGCCCTTCAAAGATGCCATCAACAAAGGCAAACTGTCGGAGTTTTAGCATGGTGAAGTCTGACACAATTGGAACTGTAAAAATACTTATGTCAAAAAAGGCTTAGCTCCTCCAAGGCCCTGTGAACTGCATTGTGTTCAGAAAGGCCTTTGACACTGTCTCCCATAAGACCCTCACAGAGAAACTGTTGATACATGAGGCGGATGAGCCCAGTGGGGTGGGTTGAAAACTGACTGAATGGCTGGGCCCAGAGGGTGGTGGTCCGGCCAGCGATTAGTGGTGTACGCCAGCAGTCAATACTCTGTCCAGCCTTGCTTGCCAGCCTCATTAATCCCTGGATGCAGGGGCAGAGTGTACCCTCGGCAAGTTTTCAGATGACCCCAAACTGTGAGTGGCTGATGCGCCAGAGGGTCACGCTGCCAACTGAGGGACCTTGACAGGCTGGAGAAATGGGCCAACAGGAACTTCATGAAGTTCAACGAGGAGTGGAAGGGCCCGCGCCTCGGGGACAACACTCTGTCCAGCCTTGCTTGCCAGCCTCATTAATCCCTGGATGCAGGGGCAGAGTGTACCCTCGGCAAGTTTTCAGATGACCCCAAACTGTGAGTGGCTGATGCGCCAGAGGGTCACGCTGCCAACTGAGGGACCTTGACAGGCTGGAGAAATGGGCCAACAGGAACTTCATGAAGTTCAACGAGGAGTGGAAGGTCCTGCACCTGGGGTACAATGCCATGCACTAATATGTGCTGTAGCCCACCCAGCTGGAAAGCAACTTGGCAGAAAAGGACCTGGGGGTCATGGTGGACACCAAGTTGAACCTGAGTAAGCAGTGAGGCTTTGCAGGAAAGGCTAAGAGTATCCTTGGCTGCTTTAGAGACAATGTTGCCAGCAGGTGGAGGGAGTGGATCCTTTCCCTCTACTCAGCATTGTTAAGGCCACACCTGGTGTAGTGTGTCCAGTTTTGGACAGTATGAGGCAGACATGGCCAAACTTGAGACAGTCCAAAGAAGGGCCAAAAGATGATTAAGGGCTACAGCATCTCTCATATGAGAGAGCTGGGACTTGTCAGCCTAGAGAAGGTTCAGTGGGATCTTATCAATGCCCATAAATACCTGAATGGAGGGTGCAAAGAGAAAAGCCTCTTTTTGGTGGTGCCCAGTGACCCATAACTACGTGAGGTCTTCTCTGTCCATGAACACACCCAGGCAGTAGCCCTCAGCCCTTTCCAAGGCTTTAGCATGGAGATGGCTGTGACCTAACCCTCGTGCCAGACAGGGCTCAGGCATACCCTATTGCACCATAGAGAGGTTAGCACTCTGTTGAAGGACTTGTAGTCCTGCAGGAAAAAGCACAAAGTGATTTCTTATAAACACAGAAAGTATCCTTTAGCATGGAGATCAGGGCTACAACTCAGAGCTGAATAAATTCATTAAAATAATAAAAAACCCAATCTTCTAAAAGGGAAGCCTTTTCAAAAAATATTTTTCAATTGATATTGTCTTTTTATTAAAACCTAAAAAAATCTCAGAAAATCAGACTGACTTTAATAATTGTTTCCTCCTGTTACATTCTTGTTTCCATGTTCTTCCTGAGTCCTCAGAAAACTTAATGATAAAAACGTAAAAAAAATTATAGATTTATTTTGTTTAAATCACATCTTCAGGCTTTGAGATGTTTTTGTGAGATATAAAAACAACAATTGCACAAAGGTGTAATTCAGCCATCTCTTCACAGCAAAACTGATCCTCTCAGGAGAGCTTGTGCAGAGCGAGATCTCCCCACAACATTGCAGAACCATGGCCTTGTTATTATTCCCAGTTTATACATTCACTGTGTCAGCTTTCTTCCACTGGCCTAACATTCATTACCCGCTGTAATCAGTACTACTCAAATCTATCCTGGTCTTTGATATACAGAAATGCTTCCATCATGCTCTTGGGTGCCACAGTGAAATGTGTTTTGGAAGGGGGCTGCTGCGCCCCACCTCTCCCTGGGGGCAACATTCCTTATGGTGCCACCTTTCTCTTTGGCTTATATGACTTTGAATGCGTATTTCCTCAGGGAAACATCAATGTGCACCAGATGTTAGTGCAAATAATCTTTTAAAAAAAAATATTAATAGCTTGATGATGTACTTTGGGTTGATAGTAGCATCATATTGTTGCAGTGTAGCAAAATACAGGATCATGCAATTTTTTTTGTTATTCTTTCCCTTTTTTAGAACTGGCTTTTAGTTCACCAGAGGTGGATCTAAAGAAGGAGATAAATCTTGTTGAGCTCACACAAATACATCACAGAGTGAGAGTACAAGAGGTGTGAACATTTCCTTGGTCAAGCTCTGCATTAGATGAGTTGCTCAAGTCATGGAAGACTCTTGATTTACAATAACGGATAATGTGTATGTGTTTGACACCATGAAAAATCCTTCTTGTCTTTGGTATTTCATGTTGCTTTTAAATTATTTTGTATTTGTTCATTTTGATAACATCTTAATTGTAAATAAAACTAGAATAAACTACTTGCATTCACTAGCCAACCATATACATATCCTTTATAAAATACAACTTTTAAAAGACTTTCAACACTTTTATTGCAATTACATCACTAGTATAACATACGTCTGGTTTTATACATTATTTTTACAATGGCTCAGAGGAATACACATTTCTAGGTTAACATCTGCTTAATAGCTTGTCTTTTTACCAATATTTACAAAAAACATACTGCAACCTGATTTTTACACTGAGAAATGAAAGAGACAACTAAAGTTGCCACCAGTCTTCCAGTCATCTAGACCGACGTACAGATGTTTTTAAGGCATTTTTGTTTCAGTGCTGGAAGAACATAAGAAAACTCATCAGAAGAGGCTTTATGAGGAAAATATTAAAAACATACATGAAAGGTAAATAATCTTTTTCTTTAACCCCTTAAAAAATTATTATCAGATAAAATAGCTGTCTGATGAAAGACAGCAAATACCCTGTGGATATCTACAACTTTTTTATACTTTTTAATAAGTTATGTAGAAATATAAAGAGAAAATATACTTACTGTGGGAGTAAGCAACTCTTTTGACTCTTTCACAGACATAACTTGCATTTTTCAAGAACCAGGAATAGTATTCAATGCAGTACCTAAAGATGTAGTTAAAGTCAGGAAAGTAGTAGCTTGTTATCTTTCACAAGCCCAAATGTATGCATATCACACTGCTAATACTGAATATGGAAATAAAGGATTTGACCTCAGTGATGAAATAAATTGATCTGACCTCATTGTTGCCCTTAGACATTTGGAAAAATTCAGGTCAGCTTTGTTCACTTTGAAAACACAAACAGCTGGTGTGAACTGGGTGAATACCTACTGGAAGCCAGATCAGGTATTGATCTGTGCGCTGGGGACCCATATGGGACTCTTACCAGTAGCCACAGACTCTCAAAAATAGGCACTTGTGATTGAACATCATCGTTTTTAAAAAGCCTGATGGAGTATTTTAAGCAGAGAGAGGAACTAGTGCAAGGTTTTACCTCATGGCTTCCTTTCTGGAATATTTTCTCTGACCAACACAGAGGCACAGCTGAAAAAACCTACACAGCTCCATCACACAGGGATTGATCTTCTGCATGATAAGAGTGACAGGAAGAGAGCTCACACGGGACTCTTTGAGGATCGCCTGTGGACACCCTAGGAAAAAAATACAGCTCTGAACTAGTTTGAATACTTGTGTTAAATTTCTTGCTATGCCTTATCTGGGCTATGAGAAACATGCAGATTAATAAGATCATTTATGTATCTTCAAACCTGAGTGAGGCAGATAATGGAAAAGAAAACACACAGCCTGGCAGGAGTGAAAGGACAAATATTCTGTTCAACTTACTATTATTTCTCATTACTGGTTAGTTACTTAAAACCACTTGTAAGGAACAACTCTAAAGATGCAAATTATTTATTGTTACCTGTTTAGGTGGAGGTTCAGTTGCCACTGAAGCATCAGTTTTCCACAGTGCAAAGCAACAAGAGAAAGAAGAGCACTGTGCACCTGTTATATTTGGTATTTTCTCTATGCATATGCTCCCTTAATGAAAAATTCACTTCCAGTTCTGCACGCTCCCCTATGCACACCCTCGAAATCTGAATCCTAGATTAAATATGACTGAGTTAATAAACAGACACTCGCTGCTCTCCCCATCACTTTTTGGTTTTTTTTGCCTTATTAACAAACTAAACATGATTTATGCAGAGGTTATGGCTTTCTCATCTGCCAGTTTTCTCCTTCTGGCTTCTAGTGACTTGAATAATCAGCTAATTTCAGCCCAATTTTTAGGGATGGGTAAAGATCCTCTGGATAAATACATTCCTACAGGTTTCATGAAAACTGACAAGCAACTGAAGGAGGAAAGGTCAATTTTTGCCTTCACTGAGGGGAAGGTAGGAATCATTTTGCTGTTTTACTATTTGTTTGCCAGGAGCCAGCTGGTTGATCAGTGTTTTTTTCCTTCAAGTAACACCATTATACTATTTTAACTTAAGAAAAATGCAGAGAAATGGTGTACCTGGGGATGGATTCTTTCTTCCCCTCTTTTGAGACAACTAAAAGGAAAATATCCAGTTTATTCATTGAATATTCTGCAGTCAGCAGCCAGAGATAAACATTTTCACATCAAACATTTCATCCCACCAGCAAGCAGCTGTGCCAGACTGCAGAAAAAGCAATATTACAGAATAGGTGATGGCAGCTTGTAACAAAATCCTGAATTGCTATGTGGATTTTCATTGTCAAATACAATCTCTCTTCAGACTCCATTTCTCTCATAGAAAAGAGGAAAGAAGAAAAGGTGAAAATGGGGGAAATTGAGAAAAGGTAAGGTAAAACTGAAGCTGTTTTCAATTTCCTAAGGCATTTCTTCATCATATTATGTCTTGTCTTCTCCAACCCATTCCCTGTCCCACATCATCTTGCATCTTAGCTAACAGTTGTGTTATGATGGGTCAAAATGCTAGGCTTGCTAGAGCGAAACCAACAGTATATACAATATGCTAAAAGGCTACTGGGGTATGGCTAAAATAGGTAATAGGTGTGTAATGACCTCTCCTTTGTGTACTTAATAGCTGTGCTCTGAAGAGGAGATGATGCGTGTGAGGGCACACTTTGGGTCACTGCAGTGAAGCAGCCTGCCCTGCAAGATGTCACATCTGACCTGGGCATCCGCATGCACGCACATCGCGTTGTCCCCTGCATACAGCAACCCTTCCAGGGGGATGTCTCCCCTACACCAGCACTCCAAAAATAAGATGCATCCCTAAAAATGCCACTCTGGGGCTCTGGAAAGGTATCAAGGGGCCAGGCTGTGAGAGGGCACATTTTACCTGATGTAGGTGTCCCCCTCACACGCACCCACTGGGGCTGAAGAGCCCGAATGTGCAGAGTAGCTGCAGTGTGACTGCCAGCTGGTTTTTCCATTTCTGTAACTAGCAGCTGGCTTTGGCCATGTGTAGATAAACTGCCTTACCTGCAGAGTATAATCCCCTTAGACAGTGTAATTGCATTTCCAGGTTCACGTCTCACATGCTTTATAGCTTTGGGCCATCTTATGTTATGTGAGAGGAGAGGTTACAGAGGTTAAATTTGGACTAATGAAGTTCTGTTGAAATAAGCTTGAGTCGCCTAGTGCTGACAAGGAGTTTAATATAAAATGGCATTCACGGTCAGGAGGAAAATAAAGACTCTGCCAACCTGAAAGAGATTGCTATCAAACTATTTCTCTACTGCCAGAGCTTGCCCAAGGTAGCAGGAGTCATGGAGGAGTAATGGGCAGACACTTGCAGCTCCCAAACTCACCCTGAAAATGGGTTCTGTGTCAAAGCACTACACAAATTTCAGGTGGAATTGGTCAGGGATGGGCAGGAGGGAGTCCCATTTCTCTTAATCTCAGCAGCTTTGCATAAATGTCATCGGGGCCTTGTCCTCTTAACAGCAGTTAACCAAACTTGAATTCTTCCCATCCAAAGGCAATTAAAAATTAATGATTTCTTGCTATAATAAACATACTTCATGTTAATAACCAAACATCAGAGCATGAGACAATGAGGTTTTAATGTAACTTGTCCATGAAAAATAATGTTATAGTTGCTGTGAATAAATAAAGCTTGCTAAAGGCCACACTCCAACAAATCTCAGTCTCCACCAAAGTGGGTATTCGCTATCCTCCCTAACAGATGTTAAATGCTTTACTCAAGCTAAGTGTTCTGCCAGCAGAAATTCTGCTTTAGCTAAATGTAAATTGAATGACTGCAATTTTAATTTGCATTCATGTACACGGGAAAGAGAAGTAAAATAAAAAGCTGCAAGTTTAACAAGTTGGTTTGGTTTTAAGTTTTGACAATAATTTAATTTTCAATTAATGCTGCATTTATATTGCTATATTTATTTAATGCTTAAATTACCTTTCAATTAATGTATTTAATTTTATTTGGATTGCATCATATACTCACATTATACTGTTGAAATTAAAATTTACAGTGCTTCATAATGTTTTATATCTCTTCTGTAATGTTTCTACTGTGAAATGCATTTTTTAAATTCAGTTCATAAGTTCCTACAGATTCAGATTGAAATTCAAAAAATAATTAAAAGCAGGAATTTATTTCAGAACTATTTGTTTTAAGAACTTTTTTCCTAAGAAATTGAGTCAGTCAAAGAGGCCAGAAAATGCAGGAACCGCAGCTTCCTGTGCAGAGCTTTGCTCGTGTCTATTTGAAATTACCACATTACTGTCACAGGAAGATAAGTGACCAATTCTTGCTGCAGTAAACAGACTTTTCCATTATTAACTCAATATCACATCTCTCTGACACAGAGATTAAATTTTGCTGCCAGTGAAAAGCAATGTTACGGCTATTGTGAATAATTCAGACTCTGCGGGCTCTAATGCAAACTTGCATATTTATCAGTTGGCATCCACTCTTGTGATTTAAGAAAAGACTTCTTGAAATAACATCTCAGTCTCCAGAGCATTCTGGATGCCCTTCGCTGCTTTGAAATCTCCATGTTCAATTTATTTCCCCAAATGCATGATTGATTATAGTATCATAGAATTCTTTAGGATGGAAAAGACATTTAAGATCATCAAGTCCAACCATTAACCTAACACTGCTAATACCAGCGTTAAACCATGTCCCTAAGAACCTTGTCCACACGAGGTGTATGCAGGTAGACAGCCTCAGTCATCATGGTTTCTGATAGAGAGGTACAGGACTTGTTTGAATGGTCTCCTGATGCTGTTGTCAAACTTTGTTTTTCATGGTTAACTCTGATAACATTATTTACTTCTGAAAACAGATGCCCCACTGAATTCTGTATTCTCAAATGCTTTCTTTTCTAATAACATGAGTAAAAAAAGAGAAAAAAAGAAAAAAGATAAAAGACAAGCAACCCAACATATGCTGATAAACTCAGCCAACCAGAACAGGACTGGGAACTATGAAAAACCTGATTAGAATCAGCAAAAGCTACAAAAAGTAACAACACAGGATCCTGGTCTTGGCTTGCTGCAATAGATAACAACAGCAAAACCCAGGGAAAAAACAAATGACACAAAAATGTAAGACACTACTGCTCACCTACTATGCAATTATTCCCATTGACAGAAAAATTGATGATTTGTGAAAGAACCCAAATATGTTTACTCTCCTAAAAAAGCCCCACCTTTACACACAAGTAAAGTTATGATGGAATCCAGCAATGAGCTGACAGAAGCCAATACTGAAAATATCATTAGAAACGGTGAGATTAGCAGGGAATCCAGGCCAGAATTTGCATTTTAAACCTCCAAGTAATCCCAAAATGAAGACTTGAGGATTGCCTGTGTGGAGGCAGGGAGCTGGCTGCATCCCTGGTCCTCTGGGTCAGCTCCGCTAGCAGAGAAGGGCCACAAGGCTGCAGTTCCCCTTTGTGCAAAAACCTGCTGGTGACGCTCATTTTTTTCACTTTACCTCTCCTGTTTTGACAGGCTAGCTATCAGCAGCAGTTTTCTCTTACATTTATTAGGAATCCATATCAGACCTATGATTACCTTTGACAATATCAGAACGGGGCGGTTTCCTACTAATCCATCACAGACCATATAATCACCATTTATCTTTGCTATCCTTACCTATCATCCTTCAGAATTTGCAGGCCTTTATTTGCTCATGTTATCAAACTTTTTTGTTCTCATTTCCAGCTGTCCAAACAGACATTTGAAAGAGTATTATTTTACTGGTATTTTAGATTTTTTGACTCCTCTGGTTTTATCTGTAATATCAAGCCCAAATGATATTGCAGACACCTGCAATTTAGCCCGATATGTTATCTTCGCACTGCCCAGCATTTAGGCTTCTCTTAGACAGTTGCCACGCAGAAACACAAGCAGATTTCCAAAATTATCTCCAGCAGACCTCACCACCCAGAAAGACCCATGTTCCCACTCACTTTTGGTAGCAGCAGGGTCAGCTTCAACAGGAGGATCAAGGACAGTCTCTTCCCAAGGTCCCATAAGTTCATCGCTCTATCACACCTCTAAGCAGACAAACTGGCAGGACGTGGTCTTAATGCCAGGAAACCTTGGAATTCAGCCCCTCGTTTATTCTGGAAAAGTGCGGACTGTATTTTGTCTTTCTAATCTTGAGCTGAGCACAGGTATTGCCCTGGCTTCATGCATCACTGGAGTTTTCAGACCGACCTCAGGGGTGGCTACCAAATTAATTTCCTCTCCTTAAAAAGATTATGCTGCACTGAACAGCAGATATCAGTCAGAGTCTGGACTACAGGCACATAGATTTTGTGTGGATACCAGAACTGGCAGTCTGGATTTTCCCTCCAAATGCAACAGCAATATGAATTCATAATAATACTGGTGTGCTTTCCATATTAGTATCAGAGCTGGAACATAAGCACCAACAAATCCTTCAAATTTATTTCCTTAGCTACAAGATGGGGTGTGTTTTACCTAATTTTAAGTGTCCATGATGCTGGAACCTAGAGCTAAACTAGTCATCTTTAGCCCCCAAGACTGGGATTTGCAGATGAAATTTATTCCCATTGTACTCCTGAAATCAGCTTCTACTTTGCGAATTTGTGAGTAGGTAGTCTGGACTCAGCCACACACATGCTCAGCATGAAAAGTGGGTGCTGGACTCACCCAGAGTTCAGACTCTCCTCCTGACATTGAATCAAATTTCAAAGTACATAGCCTCTTACTAAATACTTGTATGTAAATATCGTTATATTGCCAGCATGAGTATATGATACTGACAAGTGGGCTGGCACATCGTCGTATATTTAACATACTGGGCTCTTAAATTCTAACCATTCTGGTGCTTAAGAGCAGAAGAACTGAGCTTTCCTGAAAATCTAGTTGATAATGATCCTTCTTTAGCTGAAGAAGTACTTTGCAGTATTGTAAATTCAGGGAGAGTTTACAAAATTCTGGAGATTTCATGTGGCATGGATTGACTTAATAATTTTATTTTTACCAATAAGAGGATTTAAAGCATGATAATTTCTTTTGGAATAAGTGAATTTTCAGATTTTCCAATAATCAATCCATGTTAAAATTGACACGAGAGTACATATATCAATTTTATCATCACAGTATAATTTATGTTTTGAATGTACAATTGTGAATGATTCACAAACAACTATCGAAGCAGTCCCTTATACATTTTGGGTGTTTTACATACATTAGACATCACATAAATTAAACATGTATGTTATTTCTGCATGGAAAATTTGCATATTGGTATACTTTCAAACATGCTATATTTTTTTGCTGCATGAGGTGCAGCTACTTACTGGTAGCTGAGTAAACTTTCAGTGTCACACCAGGCCTGTGGGGTGGCGTAGACAGCACTGAGGAAGTTAAATCTGAAGGAGGGAAAAGAATATAAGTTGCCTTGACATTCTAACAGAAAAAAAAAAAAATATTAAGGAAGATTGATTGAAAGAATAAGAGAAAAAAAAAAAAGCTGAAGTCACAGACTTCCAAAAAAATACTTACACAGACATTGAAGTATAAATACATTTGCAGTCATCTATTTCTATATATATTATTTTCTATTTCATGAATGGGCCACCTGACAAATACTTGGTTATTACCTAAGATCAATCTCACCTGGCTCTGTTTGCATCACTTTGCCATCACTGGTTTCTTCAGGAGTCACCATCTGCATCCAGAAAGCATCCACGTCAGCTATGGGAACAGAAAGACATGCTTTTCGTCATTCAGGATATCTGTTATTCAGCTGTCCACTGAGATCTGCTGTATGTGAGACAGCTCAACAGCCAGAGTCCCTCACCCAGCACTCCCAGGGGCATATAAAAAAGTCAAGAAGAGAAAGGAAGGACAAAAGATGTAGATCTTGAAAAGTCCATGAGCTAGGGCAATGTAGGATTTAAAGAAGGTATGTTTAGTGGAGATCAAGAGAAGCAGCTTTATATTGCTTTTTCACAAGTCTGCTCACCCTATTTGGAGCAAAATGTGAGTGAAGGCCTAGACAGTAGAGGTGTTTGTGAGGAGCAAGGTGTAGGTTTTCCCAAAAGGATACAAAACTACAGATGGACCCTATAACTGATTTTAGCCCTTCTACAACAATCATAGAATGGTTTGGGTTGGAAGGGAGCTTAGAGATCACCTAGTTCCAACCCCCCTGCCATGGGCAGGGACACCTTCCACTAGACCAGGTTACTCAAAGCCTCATCCAGCCTGGCCTTGAACACTTCCAGGGATGGGGCATCCACAGCTTCTATGGGCAACCTGTCCCAGTGCCTCACCACCCTCTCCAGGAAGAGCTTCTTCCCGATATCTAATCTAAACCTCCCTGCTTTCAATTTAAACCCATTACCCCTTGTCCTGTCACTACAGGCCCTTGTAAAAAGTCCCCCCCAGCTTCCTTGTAGCCCCTTCAGGTACTGGAAGGCTGCAATGAGGTCTCCTTGGAGCCTTCTCTTCTCCAGGCTGAAACAAAGAAATCTACTCTCTAGTGACACAGTGTATCTCCCTGTAGGGCCTCCCAACCTCAATCTCAGAGATATGGTTTCAGTTTTTGGGCAAACCCCATCACTAGCAGGGCAAAGCAGTCCTCCACGCTGTACTCACTGGGGCTGGGCTGCAGGGCTGGCGATGGGGCTGAGCTCCCCCCAGCAGCCATGGGGGGCCCAGCTGTGCCGCGTGGTCTGGAAGCGTCCACATGCGGTGATGTAAACCCTGGTCCTTTCATTCCAACCGTTTTTGGCCATGGTGGGAACCTCGTGGTGGGGATTTCCTCCCCCTTCAGCCCAAGAGGGATCCAGGTAGCTGGAAAAGCAGGAGAGACAGAGGGAGGGCACCAGCAACTCATTGTGGGCGCTGGTGCCACACGGCAGCAGCAAGCGTAACACACTGGGGGATAATAATATCTAAAATACACCCACAAAATCCCATCTACTCCTTGAGTGCTTCCCCTGGCAGGTGAGCGGCCACCTCTCCATTTCGTTTTAAATATAGAAGCATGGGGGAGTGCCAATAATGTTTGAAATCTTAACTGAGAACATCTTAAGGTGCAAGTTTTCATAAAGAAAAAAAAAGAAACTGAGAGATTCCTGGAAAGTGTGTGGGATTTTTTTTTTTTATTCACATAAATTATTTTTTTTTTTAATTTCCTAAGCAGTTTCTCTACAAGGAAAGAGATGAAAGCTCTTGTCTCTGTGAAGGCGAGCAGGCAGGTACTGGAGGGCAGATACGGGAATTTCAGAACTGATTACATTTTGTGCAGAAGTTACACTCGAGGCTGGAAGAGACAACAGAGGTTGGTATGTTGTTGAGCAAAAGAAAAGAGCTTATAAAAAGACAGCAGACAGACCAGGGGAAAATGTGGAATTGTTATAGACAGCTGCAGTGATGGGAAGGAATGAAGCAAAGTTCTGAATTTCTCTTTGCGCCTACTATGCGGAAGCACGCGTGAAGATTTGCCTCTCTGCTTTCAAAATGAGGCAGACTAGCACTTTTCTGTCCTGTAGCCTTGTGGCAAAGCTAAATGCACTGGAGGTTATGAAATTCTCAGATACACACAACTGAGTGCCCTATAAAGTCAAAGACAGAGAAAAAATATGAAAAAAATATTATAAGAAAGGAGAGGAAATGGTTTGAACTATTTTTCCCTTGGTTTAAAAACGTCTTTTTTTTTTTTTTTTTTAATTTCCCTGCCTCCTTAGAAAACTTCTTTTTCTAGAAAATGGCAAAAAAGAGCAGTTTTTTTTTTACAATAGTTTTTCTTTTCCCCAAATATTCAGTGTATTACTGACCTGATCTTCTGCTGTTTTGGTCAAAATTTTATCCTACCGTGTAATCGCAGTGCATCATCACAGCACTGTGCAGCAAACATATGATCACTTATCAAGATGTTAATCAAGAAGAATGTAATTTGGGTCTGACAATACTTGCTCACTTTTGAATGTCCACACATGTTCTGCTGATGGATCCACTGTTTTGTTTGGATCTTCTTGTAATTTCATGAAACTTGAAAAAATGGAGTCTAGATCTTTGAAGTGTGAGAAGACAGAGTTAGTATGCTCACCATCTTTCACATATTGTGTGATCAAAAGGAAAGAAATCAGGTTCTGGTATTAGAGAAACAGCTGTTGTCTTTTTAAAAAAAAAGTAACTTCTGTCAAAGTGTCTGATTATTATGGTTTTTTGAAGGACTAGAACATCCTACAGCTTTCAGCACAGGTAAACTTGTCACTGATTTCCCCGTCTGCCTTTTTTAATGAAGCATTAAAAATGAGAAATATTCATGGACTGCAATGAGAGCTGAGTATCTGAAGTGCAGCTCCATCTGGCAAAGCAATTTTGGGTGGAAGGGCCATGCAACACACTGGCTGAATATATTAAACTCCTTTCTGAAGGTAACTCATGTAAAGGTAGGAGACAGTTTGTGCTGAGACCTAAGATTCAGAGCATCAGGGAACCTCCACAGTCCAGTGCTGAATTCTGTAAAAACTGCCATCCCAGGAGGTTTTATTCATTCCTCCACTAAAACACCTCATAGTTCATAATTTAAAAGTTTGTACATTTTACTTATATTTATAGTGTAAAATATCATATTACACTTATAATAACATAAATTATTCTTTTCAATAATAAGACATATCACAATGCATACATATGTACAATTAATTGCAGAGATTGTAAAATCTCTAAAATCTCTCTAAAATATAAAATAATAATTTCAAAAGTTACTTTTACATTATGAAGATGAAGCTGTCATTTCAAGTGCTTTTTGTTGTTGTTGCTGTTTCCTTTTATTCCCCAGGATGTACTTACCCAGGTCAGAAGATGTGTTACTGGAAAATGTGTAATTAACAACAGGAGACTTTTCCAGTATTTCCCAAAATTCAGACAGATTTCTCCCTGCAAATAGAAACAACTACAAATACCAAGAAAAGTCTGTTTCTAGTCTAGGTCATCTCTGAGAATAAGTAGGGCAACATTTTGGAGCAGAATGGTTGTAACATCTACCTGTCTGCCCTGTCATCACACAGATGTAGATACAATCTGAATCATTACTCTGACGCACTGAAGGGCAAAAAAAAGTAAAACAGATCATTGTTACCAGTTTTCATTACAAGATATTATCTTAAACAGTTGAAAACACAAACACAAAATGGTATGTGGCCACTACAAGCAGCCAAATATTTTCTTTCTGATTTGATTTTTGACAAAATACTGGAAGCAACACAAAATCCAAATGCTAATATTCCAGGGGAAATATTTCTATCTAATTGGAATTCTAAAGTCCAAGCATTTTTACACAGAAATGAAAAATCTTCAAATAATATAGCCTATAATTATTCTTTGGGGATTGTAATTCCCGAAAATACCAGTATTTAATAATATTTCATTAAACTTTCAAACAAAACACAGCTTCCTATAGAAACATGCATGTCTATATTATATATATACATTATGTATTTATATTTTTCCTCTAAGGAGACTGTTTACAACTGCAGTCCATGCTTTGCAAGAAAAATGTTGCTGAGTCAGAGCAATAGGTTTCTATGCACATTTCTCTGCTTGTTTCCACACCAGGAGTAAATCAGACGAATAAGACAATGATAAATGTTAAAAGGAAATGCAAACCTGAGAGAATAGAAGTGGATTTGAAAATTTCTGTGAGATAACTGGTGGAGTTTCCTATAATATCCACAAGTAAAGCTGTAAAATCTAGATAACAAAATAAAGAGATTTTATGAATGAAAACACATATTCTATCAACAATGTTAAATGAAAAAATATACTTTTATATGTGATCATATTTTGGATATATCGTTGTATGTGAAAATGTTTAAAATATTTTAAAGCTCAAAATGTTTCTGGACTAAGAAGTGGATTTAGGAAACCAATGGAATACTCTGCAGAAGTATATTTCAAAGACGATATCCAGCATAGCACCAACGTGCCTAAAGTAAAATTGAATGGAATTTATCTGTTCAAGAGAACAATTTAAAGTAACACTCGACTTAGCTTAAACCCAGAGGGAGAACCAAAGCCTGTCGGCTTAGCCTGTACAGGATCTCCCAGGAGGCATCTGATGGTCTCCTTTGAGGTCTACTTCAGACATACCAATGAGGAGGTTAGCTCAAAAAAATGGCTAGTAGTGGTTGTTGTTTGATTATTTATAGCAGGTTCTAACAGTAACAGGTCAGATTCTTAGTTAGGGAGTGACAAACATGAGCCCGGTGTCGGGCCCTCAATTTTTACTACTTGGGAGTAGTAAAAACTAATTGTCAAAATATTCTGGATTTGGAGCAGAAAGATTAAAGTTTCTCCATTATCCTCCGAGGCAGACTGGGTCATTTTGCAATAAGGTTTGTATGGGTCCAGAAGAAGCCATGAAAGCCACTGTGGCTCCTGTATGTGGTCATCACATGAAGCTTTGAGGGTATGGGTTCTGGTCCCTTGCTTCTGAGCTACTCGACATCTTACATTAACCAGCCATAGAACTAGAGTGCTTGGACCCATCCTGGAATGTTAAATACTGTGAGAGCAGGGATGTGAATGAGGATTACAGATGAAGGATTTGCCCAACAGCATTTTAAACTCTATTAAACATCTCTATGAAAATGTTAATCCTTGCTTTTCACTCCTGTTGGGCTCATTGCAGTTATTGGAGTCTGCTGGTGCAGAGAAGCCCTTGTTCATCTCCTGTGGGTTATTTCAGGAGAGTGAAAGTGGCTAAGGTAATGTATCATACATGGCTGGGTTGTCTCTCCTGTGCTGCTCTTTGTACTCTGGGGAAAAGGAGGTAAACCTGCTGGGTAAAGCACGCCAGACACTTGACGGATGGCTCCATCCCAGACTGGCTGGCTGGGTGCCACCATCTGAGACTGAGTTCATTGAGTGTCTCCCAACGTTCAGAGCAGCCACTCGTCATGAGTAACGGCTGTTGAGCTCAGTATGGCAATGCTGCTCATAAGGATGAAGTCTGCAGAATTCAGGCTACACCTATCAGCTCCGAAGGAAATAATTCAGCTTAAGCACATACAATTGCCAACC